TTGGTTTAAGTCTTACTTATCGAACAGAAAACAGTGTGTTTTGGTCAACGGTGCCAAATCCCCCTACGTTGTCAAAACCTGTTGGGGTTCCACAAGGTTCCATTCTTGGACCGTTACTGTTTTCACTGTACATAAATGACTTGCCTAATGGATGTCCTGAGTTGAATGTGCAAATGTATGCCGATGATGCGGTCATCTTTGTACACGGGAAGAACACTGAAATTATCTCATGTTGTCTCTCAAAAGCTTTGGACAAGGTTCAACACTGGCTGAACAACATTTGCTTACAGTTAAATGTAAAAAAACAGTATGCATGATGTTCAGTAAACGACCAGTCAAAATCGAAGGATCCAATGTGTTTTTAAATGGAGCAGAAATAGAACTAGTCTCCCAGTTAAAGTATCTTGTTGTCCTACTGGACTCAAACTTGACTTTTAAGAAACATATTAAGAAAGTATCAAATACCATTAAATTCAACTTGCAACATTTTAAACAAATTAGACCTTTCTTAAATGTCAATTCTGCAAAGTCATACCTCCACTGTATGATACTGAACTATGGCTAGTTCATCGTTATCAGGAAATGATCGTATAGGGCGTACACACGGAGCCGTTTGGCCCCCCAGAGCATTCCGTTTGCAGATCTATTCACCTTGGGACCCGTTATCGTTTGCGGGGTCCGTTTCCGCGTTTCCGTTACGGCCTCGTGTGAACGAACGGGCTATAGGCGAGAGAAAAGTAGCAGATACAACCCGTTTCATTCACGTGTAAACAGCACACTAGTTCAGTTTTTAGGGCTGTGGCAATCTGTGGCCTTGTGTTACCTTTCATCAAGGAGTTAAATTCAGGGGGGAAAAGCCCTTGTATTGGATCCGTCTTTGTAGATATCCTTAACCTTGAGTTAATGTATTGAAATTTGTATTGAGAGAAAGGATGTCTGGATAAAATTCCCAGGGTGAAGAGCCCTAGATTTGTTGCTCATCTTAACTAGGTTTTGCAGAGGAGACATACTGTACAATGTTCAGACCGTAACGTCCGCAAAAGTAACAACAACATTCTATAAAACTCCTCCAAGTACAACCTAAAAATGGCATTTAACCATAAAGGTAAAACAACTTCAGCAAATATACTGAACTTCTTCAGTTCACTACTTCAAGAACTGCATATAGATACAATTAGAAATTAACAATGTTTTTTGTATTTAATCCAGTGGGCGAAGGAGCAGCCTGAACACATTCAATCTGCAATGGAAGATCTGTTTATTGATGTCCTGGTGTCAATGGGGAGCTTGTTTCACGATTGTTGATCAAGACTGCAAGTGAATGTTCTTGTAGCGAGGGACTAGCTAATGAATTGGCAGTAGCAAAGCATAGTGGATTGGCTGTGTTGTCCGGTTTGACGATGTTCAGGAAGGACGATGGGCCTGAGCCTTTCAGAGAATGATAACCATGTCTTGAATCGGATCAGAGCAGCCATCTCTAGCCAGTGAAGGGTGCGTAGGAGCAGGGGCGCCGTAAGGGGGTACAAAGTTAGGACGATTCTAAGGGCCCGTGACTGACAGGGGCCCAAACAATTTTAGAACATTAAGAAAAAAATGTTTAAGTAACCAATGTGATATCTTTTCATGGGGCCCAAAATCCCTGGCGGCGCCCCTGCGTAGGAGTGTTGGAGAACTCGTGTCGGTTGAAGACTGCTCTATCCTGGATGAAGGTTTTCTGGAGAGCTTCCTGAAAGAAAGAGTATCTCAGCCTTGTCCAATGGCTCTGTGTGTGATTGGATTGTGGTTTGAGAAAGATTATCACACCAGGACTCCCATTTAAAGTGAGATCCCATGCAGCTCTAGTCTTCTTGAATGAAAAGTGGTAGCCATATTTACTCACTGACATTGTCATTTCTAGTCCCTGCGAATACAGAATTGGCCATAGGAGCCTTTTATCATGTGAGGTTTTTAAATTCTACATTAGTATTCAAATGGTTCCCACAAATCTCCCTCTCACACACAAGGAATGATTGAATGATCCCCAAGAATATTTGAAAATCACCTACTCAGCATCTCACTTATCGGCCCCCGCCACCTGGTAGATGTCAGAAAGGGAGACAGAGACTGAGAGGACCCCAGTCGTCAGATAAAAAAGTAAGAAATGGAAAGCCCTGAATGGATTTTCAATACTATATTATAAAGACATATCTGCCCTTCTCCATTCACACCCCACATGCACTGACACACTGCACTCACCGCACACTATCCTCCCCATGGCGTTATCTCTCTCACCCTTTATTACTCTCGCACAAAGCGTTCAGCAGCGAGCCTTGCAGATGTTCTCTCTCCCCCAGGCAGGCCAACCACATTCTCACATTTCAGCAAACCGGCCTTATTATCATATTGGGTGTAATTGAATTAAGGAGGCAGTTTAAACGGGGTATAGTTGCGCAATTAAATAAGCAGAATCAAAACTAAACTGCCTTTGACGCTTCGTAATTGAGTTTTTCACTCTGCAAACATGCTCTTGATAGTCTCTTTATATGGTACATGTAAACAATTGTTGCAGTTCCACCTGCAGAGATCTGAGTCCTGCTTGATGTTTTATCATGGATGTGTTGCCAGGAACATGATGCAAAACAGGGCAGATGTTTGCCTGTGAAATGTCTCCACTGGATAAACAAAACTCTCTTTCTACAAATGAAACATATTTATTTTGACTGTCAGAAAAGCAGTGAGAATATGGAGATAATGCTCTTTTGAATGTTTCTCTGGACAAAAGGTGGAGAAAAAAAGCTTCTGCTGTAGAAATACAATTAACCAACAATGTGCTGTCTTGCCAGAAAACACTTATAACTCATTCTGATGAAATTGCACTTGATCAACACCTAGTAGCTCTCATCCTGCTGTAGCAGCGTTGTTGAAAATGCATTGCGGTTTTTAAGAATGCTTACTCAGCCTAGACAGGCAATGACCACTAATGAGGTCAGCAGGAGAGGTCTTCCTGTTTGTGGATTTAGTTATTTTTCTTTTTTTAATTCACAGCAGTTTGAATGAGGGTATTGATTGCAGGGTTTATTATATCTGCATTAGGAGCTGATGGTGAGTGGGTGCTCAGCAGAAGTGACCAAGTGACCTGTCTACTTTACTCTTGTTTAAAACCCTTCGGTTACACGCCTTGCTCGGCTCTTATGATTCCATTACAGAGCCAGTCTTTACTCTGTGGCATTGACTAATGGATAGCCTTTACTTCCCTGCAAAGTGGCGGCTGCTGTATGATTAGCTTCAGCAGGCCTATAAATGAAAAAAGGTAAATAACTCTAAAAAGGAGGATCCTGTGAAATCGTCAATCCAGTGATTGTGCTGGTATGCTAAATGTTGGTTGTTTGTTTTTCATGTATTGTGTCTTTATATGTGTCTATGTTGATGTTAAACATGGAGCTGCTGTGATGCAAGTCACATTTCTGACTTGATCTGACTTTAAAGTATTATCGTATCGTAAATCAGATTGGATGAGCCCAAGCTACATCCCTGCAGACTGGATGTGTGCTCCTATGTGTTTGTGTTGTTCGATACCAGTGGAGAGCTGCTATTCAGCAAGCAGTGTCTTTTGATTAATCTCAGAGCCAGCAGACCTGCTGATGGCTGAGTGAAGCCACGAGCCACTGGCTGCTCTGTAGGGGCATGGATCTATGAACAATATTGGTTCTTGTCTGCTAAGAAATTGCAATCATGGAGTATCTGGTTGCGCTACAATTGACTTGACCTCCCACACCCTTTTTATGAGTGAAAAAGCCAGCCTGAAAGCAGTGAATGCCCCATTGTTTCCATTTTATTTGTACAACATTGCCCCCTAATGTTTTTTCTGGTGTATCTCCCCAGGCCCATGTCAGAGGACGATGCTGAACCACGATATAGTGCAGTAATTTAACACTTCCTGCTCCCAGCAAATTGACAACGGATGCCTCACCTGTATTACTCTGTCACAGTCACTTTGAGAAAACGCTGGGGAACCAACACACACACACACACACACACACACACACACACACACACACACACACACACACACACACACACACACACACACACACACACACACACACACACACACACACAAACAAACAAACAGGGAGGCAGTTATTGATTAAATGCCAGATGGTATGCAAAATGAAAAGATGAGTGAAAAGCAATGATTTTAAAGTAGGCCTACTATAATTTAAAAATGCTGTGTTCCCTTTCCCACCCTAATTAACTGGTATGATGTCATATATTCATGGTGGAAGTGTGGGTAAACCTGTAGCGATGATGACCAATGTATCTGTTGCGGACTTAAATAAATCCAGTTTTTAATTCATTATAGATATACCAGTGATGTAAGAAGTACTAGGATATTTTTACTCGAGTAAACTACCAGAGTGTAAGAAATGAATACTCTGATACAAGTAAAAGTCCTGCATTCAAAATGTTACTCAAGGTAAAGCAAAAAAGTGTAAGCATCAAAATATACTTAAAGTACCAAAAGTAAAAGTAGTCATTATGCAGATCCATTTCAGAATAATAGTAATGAGGTATTATTCAAGTGTTGATTATATTTCACATCATTAAACCAAATCTGCAAAGTAGTTAAAGGTATTAAATAAAGGAAATTGAGTAAAAGTACACCATTTACCTCTGAATTGTAGTGGAGTAGAAGTACAAAGTAACAACAAATTGAAATACGATACGATACGATATTACTTTATTTGTCAGATCAAGTCTGAACTTTGACTTGCGTCACAGCAGCTCCATGTCCAACATCAACAGACAAATATCCGGACACAATACATACACTTTACTCAAGTAAAGTACAAGTTCTTCAAAATGGTACTAAAGTACAGTACTTGGGTAGATCTACTTAGCTACTTTACACCACTGTTGATTGATATGTGAGTTTGGTAGCTTTCTTGTTATCCATTACTTATGGTGGCTAAATGTGAGGAGGAGTGTTTTGTGAAACTGGTGCGCCCCCTGCTGGCAGGAAGCTGTTGGTGCTGTTATATTTTGACGTTTCCGTCTCCGGCAGACATATTGCTTACAGGAGCAAATTCTGGAAAGCTAGGAGAGAGAAAGGATTTAAAATTACTTCCCATCTTCACGACTTGATACACTCAACACGACATAATGGGTAAGCTGTTGGACAAATCGAGGGTACAGATTACTTGTTTAGAAGCTACAAATCTGGGTTTCTAAATCGGGATTAAAGAAAATTAAATTATCCTGTCACTGTTGTTTAGCTAAAGACGTAGCTAACTCACTACCTAGGGAGCTAACTCTAGTTTAAGATGCTACGTAGTAACATTAGCGCACATTGAGTTGCTGTTTTACGCTATTTCTCTTCGTAAATATTCTGTCAGCTCACTATCTAGTCTTAGGTCAGTGTTTCTTAATGTATAATATGTCATATAACTAATTATAACCAAATAAATGGGTATTTGTTACCCTACTTAACGAAACGTGGCTAATAGCTAAGCTAATTAGCACCACCTTTTTAGGATTTAGGAAGACACACGAAGCATATAGCTAAACTTTGCCCCAAATCTAAATATGAGTTATATCCACAGATCTGCTTGCTTGCCAGCTTTTTAAAGTTTCATTTTCTAATGTCTCCGGGTGTCGTGTTTCTTTGCATACAACTGTTGCTAATATTAGCTGTTGAGCTAATGCTACGTAGTGTGCATGTCAAACGTTGTGTAGCGTTAGCTGTGTGTAAGGTGTTTTGTGGTGGGTAGAGAGATTGTTACTTGCCATTATACTTTGAATCACTTAGAAAAGGTAATTAGACATCATCAATAAGATGACACATTTGTAATAGTCCTATTTATTAGACACAGATGGGTGTGCGTAGCAGCTAACGCTAGCTAAGCTATATTAGCTCTTTTACAGCCATGTTTTTCAACACAGTTCAGAATCAGAATTTCAGTTTATTTCCAGGTACGTTTACAGATACAAAGACTTTGCTTTGGTGTTACAAACATAAGGAAATAAGTTGTAAGAGAAGATAAAAAATATATCAGTTATTAAAAGAAAATATAGAAAGAACCTTTTTTCAAAAACGATTTAACATTGATTAGAATAAAGACAACATATTTACACCAAATATATAAACAACTTTATATGAACATATGGCAAACTGCATTATATTGTGTGTATATAGTTGAACCACAAGTTAGTGTTTATATGATTATATTCAGTTCGTGTTGTCAAACTTTCTAATAAAATAATTAACCTTGTTAAATCCATATTTCTGACAGCATACTGTACTCACGTGTGACACCGGGGGTCCCCATGTTTTCCGGACTATTCCCTAGGACTAGGATTGTGCTTCTGTTTTCAAGCCCTCAGTATTCTTCAATTTAGTGTGAACTTACTTTTAACGTGTATGTTCAAACTGTCCCAAACCTTCTTGCTTAATTCTACATGTCACCTGGAAATATGACATACAAACATATATCAGGTCATTGTTCTTGTGACAGGATGTCTCTTAGGTTCCCTTTGTTTTTATGTTGGAAAAGTGTCCTTAACTTGAATCGCCCTCAATTTGTCACCAAGGTCAGCTGTTGGCTAAAACATAATTGATGCTATGAAGCAACACGGATGTTTTGATTTGTTTTGATATATTTGTGGTTGAAATGTCTTCCACCGCCCTACAACAAAGGGTTTTACTCTATGGCTTTATGGTAGTGGCTGAAATCTCCGTAGCAGCTCACTTAAAATCCCCGAAACTAAGACAAAATCCATCAGTATGGCTAAATACCACTAGGTTTAGCTACATGATCTTATTTGAATCTAGACACTAAAACACCTCTCACCGTTTTTCTCTTTTTCCTTCAGAGACTCCTTGCTGTAGTTAGGGTCTCCTCTGCAGTGCTATTTCTGTGCCATCAAGCCCCACCAGTAAACAGTGGGTGCAGTTCACATACAGCAGCTAGTACAACCAACACGGTACAGAACTTAGAGCATCCAGCCACAACCTGTACTCGCGTGTGGTCCACGCCTGTGGCTTTACCATCTGGGCCCATTACACACATGCATAAGCTTTAAATCAGGCTGCTAATAGCCTCAAACCAAAACATGACCTCAATTTGAGCCACTTGTTCTAATATTTACCCTTGTAAACTCCTGTTGTTACAATGGGGGGGCTTTTGGCTCAGAAAGTTGGCACCACCGTGTGTTGGTGGCAGGTTTCAAAGTTGTCCCTGCTTCTCTCTCCCCTGTAGCCCCAGGTGACTCAGGGATCTGCACAGTGCCCTTTTCTGGTGGCATGACTGCACAAATGCTGAGAATGGGCAGTTTGTCCTGTGTGTGGGCACCACGTTACGCTAACTCTGCGATTTAACTCTATTGCATAAAGACGTTTGTTCTGCCTGCCAGCTGACTGAATAGCATTGCTGTGTGTGTGTGCGTTTTTGGGATGTGTAGTCCATTTTCAACGAGTGAATTTATGCAAGCTTTTATAAATAGACCGGTGTACATGCTGTGTCATTATCTGGACCTATTCTTAGTGATGAAACATACTCTGTTCCAGAGGTCGCGTTAACCGAATATTTTCCGTCTTTAACAATGACGGAAAAATCTGAAAGCCGTCCGTCATTTTGACAGATTAGAACAAACTCAGAACAGCGTCAAAGTTTCCCCGCAGCGGGGCTCCGGTGTTATGCCGTGTTATTATGCATGCCCTCCCGAAAGGAAAGGATATCGTTTCCAAACCTAACTTTGCCGAACAGGTCATTGAAGTGTCTGTGAGTACTTTACGCTGCATGCGCTCCCGCGAGGTGCAGTGGGCATGCATAGCACGGCGCTAGCGAGTTTGCACCCCCCCCCCCCAAGGCAGAGTTGTGTACAGGCCATAATGGATTTTTACGGAAAAGTTACGATCCTGTCCGGGCAGTGAAAAAGTCTAGCGCTCGGTTCACTTACTGTTCTCTACACATGATAAACATGTTAAGATCAACTTGAAGAAAACATTGTGTTTATTAATCTTGATTTCTACCTTTTTCTGTGTCCATTCAGAGCCGTCAGCCAGTCCGGCCAAAGACAACAACTACAGGATGAACCGCTACAAGAACAAAGCACTGAACCCGGAGGAGATGAGGCGCAGAAGAGAGGAGGAGGGCATCCAACTCAGGAAACAGAAACGAGAACAACAGGTATTAAACCAAACTGGGATGGGATGAAACAGGATGTCATTTTGGGGTGTGATAAATACCCTAATTGAGTGGATAGTTGTGATATTTTCACATCGTCTTATACCTACACCAAACCTATCAATCCCACTCATGAGACCCTTTATCTCTCCGTTTGACATTATTGCAGGATTTCATTTATGCACACTCAACATGGTCTGGCTTAACTGTGTCTTGTGGTCTCCAACTATCTTATATTCACAGCTTTTCAAGAGGAGGAATGTGGACGTTCTCAATGAAGAGGAAGCCATGTTTGAGAATCCTCTAGTGGACTCATACCTCAGCTCTCCAGTTACAGTGAGTGTCTATTTCTCCTAATACCTTTCACACAAAATCGATAAAGAGAAGCTCACACAGGAACATTGTTTTGATTGTGTGGTCTAGTTTTTCTTGCCGGTTGAGAAGAGTCAGTGGATCAAGTTTTGAAAATGCTTGTCTATGTGTTGTTGCAGGAAGGTGTCATTACAAAGGAAATGGTTGAGATGCTTTTCTCGGAGGACCCAGAGCTTCAGCTCGCCACAACACAAAAGTTCAGAAAACTACTTTCCAAAGGTATTTATTGTGTGCTTAGATGAAGTGGGTCTTTTTGGACCCGGTGAGGTGGTTTTCTTGAAGTATCTTTGTAATTAAAAATGGTTATCATTTCATATTCCAGCTATTCCTCAAAAAACATGTTTTGGATATCATGCCATTCACATTTTAAATTTGCATTTTAAGAAAATGTAGTTTTTGTATTTCTACCCAAAGCTTCCATAAGTGGGTCAACAATTACCGGCATGCATTTTCCATGGGATCTTCTGGGAACCTTTGATTATTATCACCTGTTGCTGTCAGGAATACATTCACTGTAGGACACACAGACGACATCACCAGTGACACCTCTCAGGAAGATTATTTTACACAGCAAGATCTGTAACCTGGCAGTATAATAATAATACATTATATTTGTTTAGGGCTTTTCAAGGACTCAAAATCGCTTTACAATCTAAGGGAAGGTTAGGGTGGGGGGTATAGGACTATCAAACTTGATCAACCGGCATGGATTGATGGAGGGTGGGCTATGAGTAGACAAGAAGAGATGAGTTTTGAAAAGGGACGGGGATACTGTGAGGGTCTCAGAATAGCGGAGATCTTTGCATCAATATGTTCAAAACGTTTTTTTTCAAAATGTAAAAAAAATGTCTAAAATTATAAATAGTGAAAAATTTATTATAAAATATTTCTAGTGTGAACCAAAATATAATACTAAATATTATACAAGTGATTTTTCTTAAACAAAATGACAAAAATGGCATAAAAACACATATTATTCTAATACGGGTCCTTTTTGACCCACTTATGGAAGAGTGTAGGGTCCAGTCACTCGGGCATCGAAGGGTTAACAGTGAATCTACACAACTGTGCTGGCAGTCAGGAGGTCACAATGAACCAAACAAGATGACTTACATTTTCTTTACCTCCCTTGTTTCAGAGCCCAACCCTCCAATTGATGAAGTTATAAACACAGCTCGAGTAGTGGATAGATTTGTGGAGTTCTTGAAGATGAGCACCAACTGCACACTCCAGGTCAGTTTGTACTCGCACCGTTAGGCTATAGAGGGGCGAAGTTGTTGTTGCTATGGAAACAAGAAAAGTTTCACAGCGGTCAGAACTTGTCATAAAGTCCGCGATAATAAAACCCACCCATTTAGAGGGAAGATATGATTGACCAATTGTACTGTCATTTGACATTACTCTCATTGAGTTACTATAGAGAGGCGAAGTCCCTCCCTTTCCGGAGGCCTCCATGGCCTTATTTCTGAAAAAGTATGTGTTGAAGTCAATGGCGAGAGAAAGATTATCTTTTGATCCCGTTTGAATTGTGCCACGAATTACACATACGATGTTTGTCAATTTAAAAGATACATTTGCAAGTCAAACAAATTCAAATGTGTCGTAAAACTGTGAAGTAACACTTTTTTTTGTGTGAAAGCGCTCAATGAACTACATCTCCCGTCTCGCACCAACACTAAGACGGCCGTCACGTTGAAACATCTCACTTCTTTCTCTCAGAATGAGGTGGAAAGTATTAAACGAGGTGAAAATCACTCCAAGTCTGGGCACGTTGAGAGCTGTGCATACACACAAGGGGAGTTAGTCGGTTCCGTGAGAGCCAGCATGCGGGACCGGGACTCTGGGATTTGTAGTCTTTCTAGTTGCGTATTTTTCATAGTCTTATATTTCAACAGTTTTACGACAAACTGTGACTTTTTTGACTTGGAAATTATTTTTTAAGATGGACAAACATCATGTGTGTAATTCGTGGCACAATTCAAACGGGATCGAAAGATAGGTTTTCTCTCTCCATCGACTTCAATACATAATTTTTCCGAAATAAGGTCCCATGGGTCGGAATAGAATTTATCGTTTGTTGACCTAACATGTTTTTCTCTGTTCAGGCTTCGTGGTAAAATATATTTGAAATGTCATCTGATTTTCCTGCATCATTGTTTGCCCTGCAGTTTGAGGCAGCGTGGGCACTGACCAACATAGCATCCGGCACATCCATGCAGACGAAGACTGTGATTGCGGCCGGAGCGGTGCCAATCTTCATCGAACTACTGAACTCAGACTTTGAAGATGTCCAAGAACAGGTAACCCACAGTGTGTATGATGTGTCATGTCCATCTTGGCTTGTTTGTTCTATTCTCTTATACCTAATGTTATTTCTTCCTGCAGGCTGTTTGGGCCTTGGGTAATATTGCAGGGGACAGTGCGGTGTGCAGAGACTACGTGCTGAACTGCGACATTCTTCCACCATTATTAATGTAAGTCCATCCTCTTTGTTTCAGCGCCTGAGTTTCCTACCTGTGTTTTGCATATTTCTGATCCTCATGAGTTTTGCTCTCCTTTGTCATTTCAGGCTTCTGACCAAATCCACTAGATTGACCATGACTAGGAACGCAGTGTGGGCTCTGTCTAATCTGTGTAGAGGAAAAAACCCTCCACCTGCGTTTGAAAAGGTGCCAAACAACAAAAACTCTGATCATTTTAGATCATGGATTTTCAACATGTTGCTTTATAAACACGTGGAAGCCACAGCAAGCATATCGGTAAATAGAGAGACGAAGTCACGCCCATCTACTTCCGACCCATGGGACCTTATTTCTGAAAAATGATGTATTGAAGTCAATGGAGAGAGAAAACGTATCTTTCGATCCCGTTTGAATTGTGCCACGAATTACACATATGATGTTTGTCCATCTTAAAAATAATTTCCATGTCAAAAAAGTCACAGTTTGTCGTAAAACAGTTAAAATATAAGACTATGAAAAATACGCAACTAGAAAGACTACAAATCCCAGAGTCCCGGTCCCGCATGCTGGCTCTTAGGAACCGACTAACTCCCCTTGTGTGTATGCACAGCTCTCAACGTGCCCAGACTTGGAGTGATTTTCACCTCTTTTAATACTTTCCGCCTCATTCTGAAAGAAAGAAGTGAGATGTTTCAACGTGACGGCCGTCTGGGTGTGTGGTGCGAGACGGGAGATGTAGTTCATTGAGCGGTTCATTGAGCAGTAAAAAAAGTGTTACTTCACAGTTTTACGACACATTTTAATTTGTTTGACTTGCAAAATTATCTTTTAAATTGACAAACATCATTTGTGGAATTCGTGGCACAATTCAAACGGGATCGAAAGATAATCTTTCTCTCCCCATCGACTTCAATACATACTTTTTCAGAAACAAGGTCCCATGGAGCTCCCCGGAAAGGGAGGGACTTCGCCTCTCTATGCTGTTCAGTTCAATCCATGCAAAACATCTACTACTGAAATAAGATGGATAACATCATGAACGACTCTCAGCTCTACCAAGTAGTCGCTGTAATATTTACCCTGGAGATCGAATGACGCAGTGCTAGAAAAGTTTTGTAAATTTATACTATTTATTTACAGACATGGTCGTCTTATGAAAGTGTAATTCAATAAAGTACACTCTTGTTTAAATGGTCTACATAAGCGGCATTTCTAGGATAGAAGTCATGGCTAATATTGACTCCTATAGAGCGCCACAGTGACGCGTCCTAAAACCCGGAAGTAAGTTAACATTTGACCACTTCCGGTTCCTTCGACAAAAAAGGAATGAGATAGGAGTTTGGAAAATATCTGAAATAAGGTCTGTGGTTGAGAAACATTGAAGAGATGGATCACGTTTTGTTCAGCAACATTAAACCATCAGCAGTGACCCCACTGGTGATTTCTGAAGAGTTGACGTGTCTGAAAAACGATGGTTGTTAACAAGTGGCTGAATAGGACTACAGAAGTTGTCGAGGCCGTTGTACGCCATTACGCCGAACACGTAACACTCCTCTAAGTTTGGTTGCCCTGTTCTGCTTGAATGCAAGTAGCTACAATTTAGAATCTGTGTTTGAATATGGATCTTAAGTCGGCGTGACGTTGAAGCTGCTGTAGTTCGTTTATAGCATACGTTAGCATTTTGCTTCTTGCGACTAGATTTATGATTCAAAAATTATAAAAGTAGGGTAGACACGTGGAGATTATCCGGCTGAACAAAACGTGATCCGTCTCTTAAATGTGTGTCAACCAACATGACGTAGCTAAGCTGCTCTGAGAAGGTTGACTTGTCGATCGTGTGTGATATTTAAAGTGATGTTTTTCATCATGCATACTCATTATGTCTTTGCTGTCTAGGTGTCACCCTGTCTGCCCGTGCTGTCCAGGCTTTTATTTAGCAGCGACCCAGACTTGCTGGCAGACGCCTGTTGGGCCCTGTCCTACCTCTCAGACGGCCCCAACGACAAGATCCAAGCCGTCATCGACTCCGGAGTCTGCAGGCGTCTTGTAGAGCTGCTCATGTGAGTCCAGCTCCACTCTCTGTTGCCTTTCTCACCGTAAATCTGACCCGTAAATACTTACAATTTGTTTCTGCAGGCACACGGACTACAAGGTGGCCTCGCCTGCTTTGAGAGCTGTAGGAAACATCGTCACTGGAGACGACATCCAAACACAGGTGAGAGTTTATGGTTCTGTACATAATTCTCATTCTTGGTGTTTGTGAATATATAACAAGACGTGAGAGTGATGAGACTATTACTTTCAGATTTTGAAATGTCATCATGTGGGACAAATCTGTGGAATTGAAGCACCATTTTAAAACAAAACAAAAAAAACCTGGTGGTAACTTCATGGTCAAATTGATCAAAATCAGATTATTTATATCATACATTTTTATATTCTATTTAATTCAAAGTAGATTATAGTGTATTTTCTCTTGCCAGATAGTCTTCCCACTCAGATAACTTGCCCCCAAAATTATGTGGGAGACCCTTTTCCCTGAATAGCGGTTCAATTCCCTGACAAAAACAGCTAGAATGTCAGTCAGTAAATCGGCAAGCAACCGAGCCAAGTGATCCATGGATGTATAATAAGAACTGGATACAGCCTGGGGGGCGGGGTCTCGTTCTTTCCTATGAGAGCTGCTCATTGGCGCATGAAGGCAACATGGCCCAACTTTTGAGAGCGAAACGTCACAGATTACCCAGCATGCCTGGCTGTCAGAGCAGAAGCACCCGTATGTGCGCTCATAGAGCATGCGCAGTCGAGTTGCCCCTAAGCCCCGCCCCCGGAGCTCCCACTCTCAGATCCGTGTTCATAATGCCGAGGAAAATAACTCCCAGAATAACGTAATTAGCACATTTTACAACTTGAGGACCGAATGTTTTTAATAAGGGCTATACACATTAATATTGGGTAGTTTAAAAAAAAGTATCCAACGATTTACAAACGTCTCTTTCCCAATGTTAGTCAATGGGGGAAAAAGTATTTCCGGGCCCAGCGACTGATACGGAAGTGTAGTACCGCCGTTTGGCCACAACTAATATTTTCCTCAGAGTCCGGCGCACTTCCTGGGGGCTTGATGTGATCATGTGTTTAGTTTTCCCTTTTTAGATATCTGTATTCATTTTCATTTGGTTTTTATACTTAATTGTAAACCTTTTTATAAACAAGTTTCAACCCCTCTCTGTTACAGGTGGTGTTGAACTGCTCCGCCCTGCCCTGTCTGCTGCACCTCCTCAGCAGCGCTAAGGAGTCCATCCGCAAAGAGGCCTGCTGGACCATCTCAAACATCACCGCAGGAAACCGAGCACAAATACAGGTGACACACACACACACACACACACACACTCTTACCAACCTCAGTATCTGACCCTTTCCCCCTCAACCATGTTTGCTGTGGTTGTTATACTATTTAGTAATGATGACATCAATGTTTGAGCAATGCTGAAGCTGCTTTTTGGAGATGTGTTCCTGATTTTAAAACTTCTCCTGCCCTACAGACGGTCATTGATGCCAACATCTTCCCAGTGCTGATCGACATCCTACAGAAAGCTGAATTCAGAACCAGGAAAGAGGCGGCCTGGGCCATCACCAACGCAACGTCCGGAGGAACACCAGAACAGATCAGGTCAGACTTAGAGGCAATATATATTACATCATCCCCTCTAATGACACGATGTAGGCGATATTGCCTGACTGTTTGTTCAGTTTCAACTAAAAGGAAATACAAATCTTTATCTTTTAGATAAAAGACTTACTGAAAAAACCGCTTAAAGATATTAAGTCACGCTTTAAGAGAAACCATTTTTTTCAAAGTCAATTTTGTTGTCAATCTTCCATTAAGACCTAAATAAAAACATAAAAATCAATATATATATATACTACGGATGGGAACGATTAATCGAATATTCGAAATTATTCATGTATTCGAATATGAGTTATGAATATTTTTATTAATTTTTAAAATAATTCAACATTTTTAATTAAAACATTATTTTTTTTGGGAGTGATGCCTAAGTTGATTACATATTATCAAATTGAATATGACAGTGCCATAGCTAAATGTGTTAGTTGACGTCTAAAGGTGTGTTTTGCTCCGCTCACCGGTCCCTCACAGCGGGCAGAGCTGCAGGTGCTGATCTCTCTCTCTCGTGTCCGGTTATACTTCACTCGTGTTTTATGTCCAAATCCATCAGATCTAGCTAGTTCTAGCCAATGATATGGCTGCTGCCCCTCCCTACACGCAGATCACGCAGACTCAAACCTCATCTTTGGCGCAAATGAGCTCCGCAGCCGTTGCGAGGTTCCGGCGCTAACAGTTCATGAGCGTGCTCCCCCGCCCCCTGTCAACACTCGCGACACATGAGTGGCCAGCCTAAACAACAATAAGCGCTGCTTGGCAACCGTGTGTAGCGGCAAAGTACATAGACATTTGGACTGGAGAGATTTAGTTTTGCCGGTATTCAACATATTTTACCAGTCATAGTCCGGTAATTATTTACACTCTAAGAAGAGTCCTACACAACAGACATGGCGTCAAAAAGGAGTAATGTGTGGAGATATTTCGACCAGGTTAGTGAGTGCGGTGTAGAGGTCAAACGATGCCAAATTAAACTTATACATGCTATACCTTGCTCTACCCGCAACCTCCGTTCCAGCTGAGAGGGTCTTCTCTACAGCTGGCCTGATTGTGAATCGCCTCGCACATGAAAGCTGTAGGCCTATAGCTGTCAAACTGTGATCACCAGTTCAATACATTTGACAAATTCGACTTGGTTCCTACACTTATTTGAACATGTATGTATTTCTGAAAAATTATTGAAAAAAAATTGGGTAAAAAAACAATTCTGAAAAAAAATGTGAATATTTTTATTTAATTTATTTTTTTATAGGATATTTCGGTTAACCGTTTTTTGGGGGGTCGAATATTCGTATATACATTTGCTTTTAAATTCCCATCCCTAATATATACAAAATAACAGTCACTTCAATATTTTGAGAATGCACATTAGTGCAGATTGTCCATCGAATGTGCATTATTGCAATATTGTCCATAGCAGAGTAAAAAGGGTTTGGATTTGAGTGTGTGGGGGTGGGAGGGGAGAGAGTTCAGCCTCCTGACAGCCTGGTGGAAAAAACAGTTCTTTAGTCGGGTGGTGCTCGACCTCAGGCTTTCTGTTTATCTTTGAACATCCCCATCTGTAGCATTGTCATTAAATGTAATGGTGTGTGTTTGCAGATACCTGGTGAACCTGGGCTGCATTAAGCCGCTGTGTGACCTGCTGACGGTGATGGACTCTAAGATCGTTCAGGTGGCTCTGAACGGGCTGGAGAACATCCTGAGGCTGGGAGAGCAGGAAGCCAAGCAGGAGAACAGCGGCAGCGGGGTCAACCCCTACTGCAGCCTCATCGAAGAAGCATATGGTACTGCAGCGTGTCCACACAACAACATTAGGAGCATGAAACATTACCAGAGACAAACGTGTAGTGATGATGTCGTTAGAGAGAAGGGTGGCTTTGTTTTTAACTGTAATCATACCAGAGTTTTGGTACCAATAGGCGCGTTCACACCGGAGTACTTTTACCTGTACTATTCCCGTTTTGTTCCGATAGTGCCTGGAATTTTGCGTTCACACCAAAAAGAGAACTTAGTTCCTAGAACTTTTACCCCCATGTTTACTGCCTGCTAGAGAGGTGGGACTATCCTGGGGAGAACAAGTACCAATTTGTATTGGCTGGGCCAATTGCAATTGCCCCGTAAAAACTCTGAAAAGTTTTGTGAAGCCGCCATTGTATTTTCTGGCATTAGCATTAGCCCAGCGCACAAACGCAGAGAGACTAACTTATGGCAACACAAAAAAAAACATGGGAGCGTTGGAGTGATGAGGAGGTGTCGGCGTTCTGGCGATTTACTCGGAAGGCTTCAGTAGAAGCTGCTGGGACTCCCAGCAGCTTCTACTGAAGCCAGTCCCCAACTCCAGGGACTTCCGGCCGGGGACTTCGGGCGGCAGTATACTCCGTGAAGTGGTTTGTGGCCTGCCAGTAAACCCAAAGCACCCCGGAATAAGTCCCTGAGGGAAGATTACGCAAATGAAGCCGCTGACGTCACTTCTGCTTTGGGTAGTTTAAAGATACGTAATTACATATATTGATCTAAACACTTATTTCACTTCCAGGTCTTGACAAAATCGAGTTCCTCCAGAGCCACGACAACCAGGAGATCTACCAGAAGGCCTTCGATCTCATCGAGCATTACTTCGGCACGGAGGACGAGGACAACAGCCTCGCCCCGCAGGTGGACGCAGCCAACCAGCAGTTCCTCTTCCCCCCGCAGGAGGCCCCTATGGAGGGCTTCCAGCTATAAGTCCCCTCCTCTCTCCTCTAAAATACACCTTTCACCCCCCCTCTGTACCTCCTTATCTCATGGAGAAGCCGGAGTCAACCCACATCGACCCCCTACCGTTAACACAAAAAAACACACGCACCTCTTGGAGGAAAACTGTCCCGCTCTCCAGACAACCCCCCCCCCCCCCTTCTTTCTACAAAGCAGTGGACTGACTTCCTGCAGTGATATCTGGCCAATGGGAGAGAGCCACATAAACTGCGTCACTGAGGAAGTGATCGCCCTGCAGTGTGAGTCTGTCCCGGCTTCAAACGCACACACAGACATGTAGCTGTCATGCTAACGCTCTCATCTGTAGTAGCGCTGGTTTGTCGGTTCATATAAACTCATTTCTTTCCCCAACGGGACATTCCTATTTTCAGGATTACCCATGCAGCCCCAGGCAAAGTCCACAGACGGGGGGGGTGCATGAGGTGAAATACGCCTAGCTCTTGATGTCAGTCCGACCTTATTGAAAAGAGAGAAACGACAGATATATGATCCTTTTTTTTTTGTCATTCCCCCCCCGACACTTATTTATCTTAACCTTTTTTAGTGCTTGTGATTTCTTTATTTAGGCTTAGGGCTGATCTCTGCACTCCTAAGCTAGAAGTGTGATTGATTTTTCCCTTCATTTAACATTTTCTCCCCCTTCTATTAACATTTTCTTTAGCGGGATACATTTCAGGACGGGTTGGTAATGAGTGTAAAGATGTATCAGAACGTAGGAAGGGTTTGGGATGAGATATTGGAAAAGAGGGGAGGTATAGTTAGAGATCCAATGTTCGTCGTGTGCTGTGTTATTAATAACAATATGAATTATGAAGTGATCTAACCATTAAACAAAGCACAGCTGGGGTTAAAGGGGGACACGGTGCCTTCACACAGCAGCAAAAGCATTCATATTTTTATATACTTCAACAAATTAAAGAAGTTTAAAGGGTGAAATACCACATTTATAGTTTCTGATTTCATCGAAGTGAACAAGATGCTGCTAGTGAACGAGGCGCTGTGCCACCCCCTCCCCAGCTGTACGTGGTGGGGTTGTTGCATGGTGTTATATTACCCTGCGTACAGTCACTGAGTATCCCTGGCCAAACACACACACACACAGTTGGCACAGAGAGACCGAGAACAGTGTGAAGAAATGTAAAAAAAAAAAAAACGGCCACGACTAACCGGTTTGGTGGTGTTTAAAGTGTAGTGACGGTGGTGGTGTTTTGTATAGTGCTATATATAACCTATGGCATTCTTTATCACTATATCTTGGAGGAGTGGGAATTCCAGCTGGTGATGATTTAGCATGGGTCCGTTGTGATAGTGATGTAAACAGCCTTTCCTCTGCCTATGAAGGAAAGTCTGTGTCCCCGCGTGGGTCTAAAAACTAACCCGGGTTTGGCTAGGGATACATGTCAGACGAGTGACGAGCCTAATCACAAATTCGAGTATGAGTATATATTTGAATTAAGATGTATTTGCATTATATATAAATATATATTTGCGCACACTTGCATACAACACCAGCAGACACTGTACACACACCTCTTACAGATGAGTGGCGAACAGCAAAAAAAGTTTCCATAGTCTTTGGAGTAAAAAAAATAAAAGTTATTTCATGAGAACGTTTTGCTGAAAATTGCCGTTTTGGCTTTTTCCGTATTTACTTTTTAATTTTCTGTTTTAGAGATTTGTCCCGAATTTGAAAGGCGATTCGGTGCGCACAGAGGTCTCATGGAAACTTTTTGGTTGTTTCTAGCCACGTGACTTACGATGGTTTAAACTAGCCAACTGTAAACGCTGACCTGGGATCAGCTCTGCTCGCGACAGAGGCTGATCCCAGGTCAGCGTTTAAGGCTTTATGGATGGAGCAGAACTGATGTTGTGTGATGTTGACTGACGGCACTGTGTGAGGAACAGATTGACTCTGACTGCGTCTGCTCTGTGGATTACTGACCCGCCTTCGCATCAAATCATGCAGCTAAAAAACAGAATTACAAACTCAAATATAACAGATTTAACTATTGGATATCGTCTCTAACAAGTTTGGGATACACGCTCCTCAAAAATCGTTCTTTTCTACCAATTTTCTGTTATATGGTTGCAATTTGTGGGGGATAATCGGCTACTTTTCCTATTTGGTTATTGCATAGAGTGCAGAATATCATACTGCTACATCTGGCTATTCTAAGCTAGGGTTAGTGAGGTCGATGCAATCCACAGATCACGCGTGCGCCCAGCAGACATAAGAGTTGAAATCATGAATAATTGAGCATCAAGAACTTTCCTCTACATGACAGATGTGTAGAGCAGTATTTATAACTGAAGTCTTGGCCTACAAAATAACGCCAGAATTGCAATGTTAAAAAAAATCTCTATATATACAGAAAAAACAAAAAGTGCATCAACCAGGAAAACATTTATATTTCTAACCCTAACCCAAAATGCACTCCTATTCACAAAAGTGCCAATCCGACCAACAAAGACTGGAGGTTCTCGTGTGTCTGTCTTTGACTTAGAGATTTGTTCTTCTATCTTTTATTTACTTGAATGTGCACACGTTTTGTGCAGAACATTGCTGCTCTATTTTCCTTATCTTTAAAGTTACATTATTTGTCGTGCTTTTCTTTGGAAAGTGGCATGCGTTACCGTGGGCGCCTAAAAACAAAGGAATTGAATTAAGGCAGTGTAATTATCTGGAAAAGGGGAGGGGTTACTAATTTAATTGCATAAAAACGGGGCTTTCCAGCTACTTGTCCTTTGGTGTGATGACCCCCCCCCCCCCCCCATGGCATCACTGTGCAAAGCTAAGCTGCGATATTTGGAATCAAAGCATTGATTTCATGAGGTGTAAAAATATGAAATGATCAAAGATATTGCGGGCCCCTCTGTGTGTAGAGAAACTGCGCTGATAGAAATGTACTTAGACGCGGCACGCGATGCAAGTTGTGGAAACGTAAGCGACTATCATAGCAGACAAATGCAGGTACTGACGTGGTTTTTGTCATAGTTTACCCAAAGTGTTGTCATCCTGAAGGCTGGTTGAATTGATCTACTTCTTGTTTTCAAAATTCAATTGATGTAATTGGCTTCGTTTCAGTAGAAGCTGCGATAGCTCAGTCCCTCTCGTCTCAGTTGTCTCTTAAGTTCAAGTTCTGTTAGAGGGAGTGAGAGAAATCTGCAAAATGATCCTGAAGACTGCAATAAATATTGTCCTAAATCTCCCCCCCCCCCCCCCCCCCAGAGAGGCAAAGACCCCCCCTTGCTCTCAGAGGCGAGAGCTAACAGGCATCTACTTGACTTTTTTTTTTTCTAACATAACATCTGGGATTCAGAAATAGTGATTTACATTAAAAAGTATTATAAGTTAAAACTATATGTATGTTCTGATACATTGACAGGGATTCAGATGCAATTCTAATCACTTCTGAGAAGTGGAGAAAAAGCCTCGTTGGAACATGTCACAGGAAGTAAACAAATATATAAAATAGGAGGTGAGGAGCCAAGCCTTTTCTGCTCAGGATTTTCTGGGCTATATTTTGGATAATTGTGTTGAAAGGTTTGTCCTAGTCAGGCTGCATGATCAGGACCCTTGTTATCTTAAGGGAATGAACAGACATCACTAAATATCTCAAATCTGACTTGTCTTCCGTCCTAGAAGCTGTTCATGTCTTTATCAAAATCTAAAGCCACGCTCGGCTTGGTCAAGTAATGTTGCTTCAAATGTTTACAATGCTACATGTTTGTAAAAAATACCCTTTTCATATGCCATCACTGACCAGTCCGCTGCTCTGGTCCTCATTTCTTTTACATGTATTTATTTACTCTATTCTTGTTTATGATTTTCCGTTTTGCTCAAAATGACCCATCTTTAAAAAAGAACTGTGACTTGACTTGACCTTTACCGACGGTATGAATGAGTGACGAGAAACGTGTACACTTCAACTGAACATGACACACAAACAGAACATACAAGAAACGGCAACAATATTAAAAAAATGTAAAGGAAAATATATTGAATTTAAAGTTGTTCAGTGGAAATACTCTACAAAACAAATAAAGGTTATGTTGCAACCCTTTAAAGAAAATGCTTCTTCTTTCATTCCTGCCTGAAGATTTGTTCATAGTGTTACAATATATAGCTTTGACCGACGAGCTACTGCCCATGGCTTTCCTTAGTTTTCAAGGTGGGCACTACCATGCTGGAAATGAAGCATTTGTGTACAAAGATTCTAAGTGTGAGCCCTGATATGAAATGATTTGATGTAACATTTGAATGGATACCTGTCCTGGCCGTGGAACGACGGATCAGCTTTTTACTCTCGTAAGGATTCTGGAGGGGGCCTGGGAGTACGCTTATCCGGTCTACATGTGTTGTGTAGACTTGGAGAAGGCGTATGACCGAGTTCTCAGGGAGTTACTGTGGGAGTATGGGGTGAGGGGGTCTCTACTCAGAGCCATCCAATCTCTACTCCCAAAGCGAGAGCTGTGTCCGGGTCCTCGGCAGTAAGTCGGACCCATTTCCGGTGAGGGTTGGCCTCCGCCAGGGCTGCGCTTTGTCACCAATCCTGTTTGTAATATACATGGATCGGATTTCGAGGCGTAGTCGTGGGGGAGGGGGTCTGCAGTTCGGTGGACTAAGGATTGCACCACTGCTTTTTGCAGATGATGTGGTTCTAATGGCTTCATCGGTCTGCGACCTTCAGCACTCACTGGATATCGGTTGCGCAAACCGAGTGTGAAGGGCTGGGATGAGGATCAGCACCTCTGAGGCCATGGTTCTCAAGCAGGAAACCGATGGACTGTCCACTCCAAGTAGGGAATGAGTCCTTACCCCAAGTGAAGGAGTTTCTAGTATCTCTGGGTCTTGTTCTCGAGTGAGGGAACAATGAAGCGTGAGATGGGCCGGAGCAGGCGGGGAGTGGTACTGCAGTCGCTTTACCGCACCGTTATGACGGAAAAAGGGAGCTGAGCCAGAAGGCAAAGCTCTCTGTCTACCGGGCCATTTTCATCCTCACCTATGGTCATGAAGGATGGGTCATGACCGAAAGAAACGAGATCACGGATACAAGCGGCCGAGATGGGTTTTCTCTCCGCAGGGTGGCTGGCGTCTCCCTTAGGGATAAGGTGAGAAGTTCAGTCACCCTGGGAGGGACTCGGAGTTGAACCGCTCCTCCTTCGCGTCGAAAGGAGGTCAGTTGAGGTGGTTCGGGCACCTAGTTTAGGATGCCACCTGGGTGACTCCGGTGTTCCAGGAACGTCCAGCTGGGAAGAGACCAAGGGGTAGACCTAGGACCAGGTGGAGGGATTATATCTCTTCGCTGGCCTGGGAGCGCCTTGGGATCCCCCCAGTCAGAGCTGGTTGATGTGGCCAGGGAAAGGAAAGTTTGGGGCTCTCTGCTGGAACTGCCTACCCCCGACGACCCGAACCACGGTATAAGCGGGGAGAGAAGATGGGATGGATGGATGGTATGGACCTGTCCTGATTTAATAGCTAACAAATCAACATGCTAAAAATTCAAGATTCATGGTTTATTGTCATAACACATACACTCCGTTGTAATTATGTAATGTATGAAACACTTCGATCACAGGTTCAATTAGCAGTACAATTTACAAAAATATACTATATAAAATAACAACAATCAAATGAAGATAGCCAAGCTCAGGTGTTTAACAGTCTTATCGCATGTGGGATGATAACTGTCTCTGATAACACAACCACACTCAGGGGTACCACAGGTTTTATATAAAGATATATATATATATATTCTATATTTGTATTATATTTAAAGGAAAACATTTAGTCTAATGCGCCCCCATGTATTAAACAAATGATAAATAAACAACAATGTCTATCACGTTGGATATCAAAGAAATGTATGCATGTGCACTTTGACTAATAAATTACAAATTGTGACTTTTAATTGTCTGGCAGGATTTCAAGACTGAAGAACAATAAGAAACAATTGGTCTGACTTTTCCCTTAGTCACATTAAATATAGATTTTGGCAATTGGAACAATTTCTTATGTTTTAATTGTTTTTACATTTATTACCGAACAGGATTAGGGCCACATAAAAACATTTTTTTGGGGATGTGAAGAGAAACATGTTTTTTGGTTCTGAGATTAAAGTCAGAATTATGAGAAAAAAATCTGAATTCTCAGGAAAAAGTAAGAATCCTCTTCCGTAACATTTAATATGTTTTTATATTTTTTTGATCTCCTTCAAAATGGGTCCTTCTCCGGACCCCTTTTCTACTTTTGGGGAAAAATTAAGCGCTAACGGGGAACATCATTTATAGACTAAATAGACCCACCCTAGAACACACATTTTTTGACAAGAACACCCCCCCCTCAGTTGTCGAAAGTATCTGAAAATGTGACTATATGTCACATTGGGCGTTATGGTAAAATACTCTTATTTATAACTTTCATTAATAGGAGATGTTTTGGTTTAAATTAGTTTGAACATTCTTTGAATGGAAGAATAAGAACATTAACTCAATATAATTGAATCAGCTAAATTAACTGAGCAGATCATAATCATATTTATAATTGTGTTTGGGTTCACTGTGAAAGTTTAGGGTTGTCCCTAAGTCCCGATGTCACATCAGTGTCACAGCGATGTTTGTCTCATTTGTTTCATATCAATTTGATCTAGAAATGTTTCCACAACAGGTTAAATGTAATAAAGGACATTTTATGTAAGCATTTTAATTCTTAAATGGCTTGAATTGTACCTTTAGCAACAACAACAAAAAGCTTTTGAAATGTAGCTCGTTCTGTCGTATGTTCTGTCGTTAGTCTGGCACTGGACATCTTGGACATGTTGTCATGGGAACACAAAATCAAATGACCTGGCCCAGACCCAGCAGACTGTTCAGGGTGTGTCACCTAGGGACTTCATGAGATAAATGAAGGCTCAAGCTGAATAAGGAACTTTCCAGAACATTTAAAGTTCATGTGACGTTGGGTCCTTACCTATGGTCCTTACAAAAGTATTTCGCTTAATTAATCGCTTTGAGTAATTTCTCTATAATTCCTGTAGATGGCAGCAGGGCAATCAGGCAGAGAATGTACACGAAGAAGAATCCAAAGTTGTGACCGGAAGTGTTTTTTCTGCCTCACGCTGTGTGTGATGCTGTTCTCACATTAGCTATTTCTCCTTGAATCTGAAGGTAAACAACTCCCTTATACACCCAATAGCGGGATATAATTCAGAGGAAAACACAAGTACAGTCCACCCTTTGTTTTATATATCTTTGTCATGTTTATATGAGCTAACTGGCGGTCGTGGAAGCTAATATCTGTTAGCCGCATCTGGAGCTAGCGAGGTTAGCGTGTTCTAGCTAACGCAATGAGAAAGCTCGATAGCAGGTGGAGAAACGAAAGCTAGTGGCAACACTTGGTAGGAAATGTAGCTTAAACTTTCCGTGACATTTATAAGTACACATGCCAAGCTAACACTGGTATTATAAACGTGTGTACAGTACTTTTCTAACTAGAAGGTTAAGTATCTAATGAGAGAAGTTAGAACATGTCTAAGTTAGCTAACGTCTGTTCAAATAAATCACCCAGAATTATGATTGTGTTGGCACTGCTATTAACATCTTAACTCCTAGGCTTCAGTCCAGCTTGAACCAATACTTAGAAAGCAGTTACTTCATGTTAGTATGTCAAAACTGGTCCGTTGTTAATAGGTGGTGGAAGAAGTTGTGATTACTTAAGTAAAAGTGGAAGTACCAGAGATCTGTGAAATACTCTCAGATGTATTATAAGTATGGTTAGAATTATTGATGA